TAGGCCAGATTCACTCAAACCTTCTTACATAGCCAAACACAAATTCAAGAATCAAATGATCGGGTCAAATGGGATCGAACAAACCAAGAATTGGGATTCAAATGGACAACCAGACAATAACTCCTACAAGTCTAAGAGTTAAGAATCAAACGAAGAACAAGTGGGACACAACCCAAAATTAGGTTCTACCAACTATCAACCACTCAAAAAAAATTTCGGCCATACAACTGAAATGCCAAAGCATATAAACCCAAGATAAGGCTCCCTTAGATGCTTGGCTATCATTCAAGAACCCAAAATCAAGTTGAGGCTGCGGTTTCTTTTTTTGGTTGCTTTTTTCTCTCTAAAATTCGAAAACTAGGGTTTCCAATATACCCCCAAGAGCAGAAATCATCAAAGAAGAATTGAATGAAATTGGAGCAAGGAGATCGGGACTTACTTGGAATCTTTGAAGAACAGAGCTTGGCCAAGAGAATTCACAAGCGCACAAGCCCAAATCAAAATCAAAATGAAACCCTAAATCCCAAATTGAAGCCTCAAAGTCCGAGAGGAATCCCTAACTCTCAAATCAAACAAAAAGAATTTGAAGAAGTCGAGAGGTTTAAAGAGAAAGGAGGAGGGAAGAAACGAATTTTTGAACTGAAGAAAATATTCCGAAATAAAGAAAGGAAGAAGAAGAGATCAGGCTTATTAAAAGAGCCCTGAACTGAACCAAACCCAGTTCGAACCACCCGAACCAAGCCAAGCCAGACCGAACCAAATCAAGAAGTCAATCAAAAAGTTCTTGTGCTGACTCGCACCCATGTGAGTCACCATATGGTGACTCACACCAATGCGAGTCACCAAGTGGCGACTCGCGCGTGTGACAAGCTGTTTGGCCAATTTACGGGTATTTTGACTCATTTTCGGGTATTTTCGACGTATATGGGACCCGTATTCATACTCCAATGTGTATATGAGTCTCAACTATTGCCTATCTTTGTCGGGAAGTTTCTGGAGAATATTATTCAGAGTATTCTTAAGGATAACCCGGCAAAACTCCCATGAGTATACGAGTATAAACTGGTCCTCCTAACTCCAACGCCTTAAGAGTTTAAACTGTGTAGACTCTAGTTAACGTACGAGTATAAATTGTGTTAACACCGGTCAACACGCCGATAACTTCACCAAAATAAAGCTAAGAGAAATTACAGAGTTCAACTACACTCAGATATGAATTCCTGACAAAGATGATCAGTTCAAAGTCAACTCGATGGCACGAGCTGAGTTCAGAAAATTACACACCAGTCTCAGTCCAAGACTTCAACAGAGGTCAGACGATAAACACAACATCGAAAGAACTTCATCTATTCGACAAAATATTGAATAGATTGAAGACCAAAGAAGCTGAGAGCTGAAACCAATTACAGGTCTTATCATACCGATTGAAGGTTGGGCCTATCATGTCCAAAGTATTCTAGGCTCTTATATAAAAGAAACGAGACTGAAACACTTTGGAGGGGGGTATTTGTAGGCGTTAAAAATTACCTATGGGTTCCCACACGCAGCTCAAGACAAAGAGAACATGATGAACGACATCATCCGAGTTAAAGAAGTTTATCTGACGCCGATGAAACGCATGAAGAGAATCGATAAAAGCGCACAAGTTAACAAATTGACGAAACATGCGTAAAGGGGAAAGCAAGTGAACCGAAGGAAATGCAAACAGCCAAAAGAGTCAAAAAGACATAACAACTGGCCAGAAGACTCGCACCCATGCGAGTCACCAAATGGTGACTCGCACAGCTCCGAGTCACCAAATGGTGACTCACGTACCTCCGAGTCACCACGACTATTTGGGCCTCCCAAATTCCCAAAACGCGGATTTCGATGTTTTATTAGAATTCTTTCGTCTCAGGACCTCCCCAACTGTTCTGAAGCTATCCTTAAGGGCGCCTGGACGGTTATCAACTGCAAATGACGTTAAAACACTTGATCTTATCAGAAAACGCGACGACAAAAACCTATAAATAGAAGCCCAGGGTCTTCAGTTGAGAGGATCTGAAATCTGAGGACGAGGTGCTGTCCAATTGAATAGTAGACCACAAATTTCAGAGGAGAATTGACAGATCTTTGCGAGCTTTTTCATAAAGAAAAAAACCTTTGAAAGATTTGAGATTCTCTCCCCCTCCTTCCTTCGGATCAAACATTGTTTTGATCTCGAGAAGAGCCACAATCTCGCTTGGTCATGATTGTCGCTGCTGCAATTATTTCCTTCGTGAAGCAAGAGCATAATTACACTTGTCAATCGGATCTGATCCGCGGTGGTCCACGGACTACGCGTCCCCGGCACAGGCAAAGATCCCACACAAAGCAACAGGAGATAAACTACTGTTGCGTTTTATTTCATAAAGTTGTAATATTTACTTTTCTCATTGTAAGGAGATCTTATAAAAAAGATCAACTTGAACTTGTAATCAATAAACGGTGTAACAGGTTCGACAACAATGAAAACGATAACTTTTGACAAAAACAATGAGGAGTGATGATGGCCATCAGTTGGTGAGGAGTTCAAGGACAAAGTGCCACTCGATTTGGTTCTGTAAGTAGGACGACAAGTATTGTCTTTTTTGTCGACCTCGCAAGTTGTCGGCCTGACTTTGAGTGAACGAGCGGGGTTGACTCAAATTGTGAGGTCGAGTGAGAGCTTGTCTCGAACGGCCCTACTTGGAAAGGGACAAATAGAATCGTCTTGACTGGAGTGTGCTCTCCTGATGATTAACGTTAACATGGGACACGTTCGACTCCAGGGTAGGATTAGCCCTTAGGTTGTATGACTTAACAACTTTGTTTAATACCATTAATTAATAGTACATATAATATTATAGTATGTTATTGACAAAATAATTATATATCATAAATTAAATAATTGATTAATGATAAATTACATATACTATAACAAATATTAATACTATAATATTATTACTATAATATAATAATATTATATTATATTATAAAAATAAATTTTTAATACACTATTATTAATAAAAGTTAATATATTAATAACAATAACATATAAATATTATAATATGTTAATTATATATGTAATATTATAATAATTAAAACAGATTATGTAGTAATAAATATTTAATATATTAAAAATATGTTTACTATTAATATTATAAAAGGTTAAACTATTGTTGACCAAAAACACTTGCCATGGTGTTTTGAAAATATTTTTGGAGAAAAACACCATACAAAAATCACCATGGTATTCAAACATACCAAATTGAGCTTCTTATTTATATATGGGTAATGTTTTTCTAAGGTGACACCTTAGATTCCCACCTAAGGACGCGGCTTAAAATCACATCATTTTTTTTTTTTTTGTGATCTGTTTCGTTGAATTTGATCTACACGTTCTTAAACCCAAACATATCAATTTTAGGGTGAACCCATCGTGTTTTGACCCTTCATTGAGCCGTGCAAAAAGTTCTATTCATTTGAAACCGTTAAAATTGCGGTGAGTGGATAAATGGTCAAAACACGACGGGTTCACCCTAAAATTAGTGTGTTTGGGTTTAAGAACGTGCAGATCAAGTTTAACGGAGCGGATCGCCAAAAAAATTAGGGAATGATGTGATTTTAGACCGCGTCCTTAGGTTGGAATCTAAGGTGTCACCTTAGGAAAACTAAAGCTATGGCTACTG